ATTGTGGAAGAAGAGGAGGTGGAAGATTGTAGGAGCCAGAGCAGGTGGATGACCACAGAGAGTCTTTCATATAGTTGGTCAGTTATTCACATGCATGCACAAGCCCTATGTAAGCTTAAACCAGACAAAATCCCAGCATAGACATGGGGAAGTGGGTAAGAAATCCCAACCCAATCTAAGGAACTTTTAATGGATGCTGGGAGTGGGTAAGACAGTGTCTTACAGGGATGGTACTCTGTAAGAGTCCATCCGGTGGATGGACCCACACTGAAGAACATTTAGGGGCACAAATCAGACTCTAGAGGCCATATATATATATATATATCACACATATATATTATACACACATATACATATATATATATATATATACATATGAGTACATAAAATTGGGCGGAGAAAAGTGGGAGGACGTTCAGATAAGGGAGGGGATCTAAATACTGTCAAACTGTATTATATGAAAATCACAAAAATTCAATACAAAAGAGAAAAAATTGGGGGGAATTTCATAGTCATTTACATAATTTCCATGCCCCTCCTACTGCCAAATCTTTCTACTTCCTCTCAGTTTCAAGACCTTATCTTTGATGATTATCTTTGATTATCTTTGATGATTTTTCTGTCTCTGTCTCTCTGTCTCTGTGCCTCTGTCTCTGTCTCTCTGTCTTGTCTCTCTCTATCTCTCACTGTGTGTGTGTGTGTGTGTGTGTGTGTGTGTGTTTGTGTGTGTGTGCCTATGTGTGTTTAGGACTGAGCATTTCAGACTGAACAACATATCAGGAAACTTGTCCTTGGAAAAGCCTGATTCTCCCTCTTTCCGCAGTCACTGATTGCCTGGAGTTCTTCTCCTAGAGGTGGGACCTCCTGAAATTTCCCCCGAACACAGTAGCATGTCAACTGGGAAATGAGAAAAATTGGTGAGGGGACTTTAACTGGGGAGGAACAGTAATACAGAGGGAGAGGAAGGCAGGAAGGAGAGAGAAATAACACTGAGGATGTCTGAAAAGGTCACATGGAAACATATTATTTCATAAGCTTCCTTAAAAATACATACATACATATATATATGTATATATATTATGTAACAAAGCTCCCAGCGCCAGGCTTGGGAAACTACCCTTTGAGCTGCTGTTCAGGGTAGTTGAAGAGACTCCCCAAACAATGTAGGCTATTACCATCACCCGTGGTTGCCTCCCAGAACTTGAGGGTAAGGCTCTAGTGCTGAAAACACCAATCATTTCTTTGGACACAGGACTTGGAGGAACACAGCTGTGATTGGCCTGGAAGTCTCCTGCCCAACAACTAGATCTCACAGTATTAGAGACGCTACGCAAGCTACCAAGGGAGAAAAGCAATCAGTCTACACAGCTGCAAAGCCTGTGAGTCGCAATGACAGGCCCAGGAAGACATCCTTATTAGTTGTAGGTCTGCTCAGATTTTCTTCTTTATGATTTAGTATTGATAGATTGTATGTCTGTAGGAATTTCTCAACAGATATGTTTACATCTGGATGACATTTATCTATGCTATTAACTATGTTATTCAGTTTCTTTGTATCTGTGGAGGTCAGAGGTTGATGCTGTCTTCCTCAATTGCTCCCCACCTTAGTTTTGAGACAGCTCACTGATTTGGATAGACTGGATGGCCAGTGAGCTCCTTGGATCCTCTGTCTCTGCTTCCTCACTACTGGAATTACAGGTATGCATGACTGTGCTCAGTTTTTTTTTTTCTTACATGAGTGCTGAGGATCAAATTCAGGTCTTCATGCTTGAGTGACAAGCATTTTATGACTAATTCTTATACCAAACCTCAAATTTCCTGATATAGCCTCAAAACTATACAATATATTCTGACCATAGCAGAATTTATCAAACCAATTTATTGAATTGCTAAAGAGGCAATTGTTTTCAGTTAATAATTTTGAAGTTGAAAATAACCATAGGATTTTAAGCTGAAAGAGACTTTGAAAGTGTTCAGCTTTAAGTGATTGCAGATGGTCACATGCTGTGGAGACTGAGATGTTAACTGAGAAATAAACTAAATGACTTTTCAAACTGGTTCTGTAACTGATTGTGATCTTAGAAGTACCAGTTAGTCCCTTTGAACACTGACTTACTCATTTGTAAAATAAGATGATCTCTCAGGCACCTTCCCAAGCTTAAGTGTGAGATGGTTCTACCAGATCATTCACTCCACAAGGGCATGAGCTATCCATGCCAGATTCACCTTGATAGAGTACTTAGTAGGATATCTCTCCACCATCTTGCATATAGGCACTTAGTAAAATGCATGTGGGAAAAATAAAACTAAAAGAATGATTAACATGTTGGGTTGAGGGTGCGGCTCAGTGGGTAGAATGCTTGCTTAGCATGCATGAAGCCCTGGGTTAAATTCCCAGTATAATATAAGCCAGATGTGGTTGTATCCACCTATAATCCCAGCACTTGGGAGTGGAAACAGGAAGATCAGAAGTTCAAAGTCTCTCTTGAGGGGCTAGAGAGATGACTCAGTGATTAAGAGCACTGGCTTCTCTTGTAGAAGACCCTGTTCAATTCTCAGCACCCACATGGTGGCTAAAAAGCACCTGTAACTCCAGTTCCAGGGGATCTGACACCCTTTTCTGACCTCCAGGGGGCTTGCACGACATGGGTGCACTTACACACATGTAGGCAATACACTCATGCACAATAAATTAAAAATTATAAATAACATATTTTGAAAAATCAAAGATCTCTCTTGAGTTGGAGGCCAGCCAAGGATACAGAAGACTGTTTCAAAATAAACAAAACTCCAAACACAAAACAATATATGGAAATGATGAAAAATTGAGCTTGTACTGTTCCTAATTCACTTGTAATTTTATTTTATTTTCTTCTATAAGCCTGGGGTAAGCTGTGATACCGAAAGCGGTCAGTGGTTAAAATCAAGGGGACAAGAGGATGGACTGTGTCTCCACTTCTGTCCTGTCCTTCAGAGGCCTTCCTCGGTCAGAGCAGGTCTCCAGATAGTGTGTCAGGGAAATGGACTGTTTCTTTATATGTTGCCCGTTACTTGTGACTTCTAATTTTTTTGATTTTCATTGATCTTTAGATGCATAAAGCTATAATTTTAATCAAAGTAAAATTCTACTTTAGTGATTTTACACTATTTATGTACTTATTTATTTACAGAGAACACACTTTGGTGCACATGTGGTAGTCATGAGACAACTTGATGGAGTTAGTTATTTCCTTCCATCATGTGACTCCCACGGACAGAACTCGGGTTATCAGGCTTGGTGGCAAGAACCTGTACCCACCAAGATATCTGACCAGTACAGTAATAGTCTTTATATAAAAGAATAGCTTCAAGCTTGGAATCCTTTAGTTCCAAGTCCAAGGTATCCTTATGCTTTTTTGAAATAAAAGTCACTTAGAGTTATGAAACACTTCCTGGTAATTATGCTTAAATATATAGAAATACGTTTGAACATGTATTATATAAAAACATGTTTATATATAATAAGCGTGTGTTTCTGTTAAGCATTTTAAACCAAAGAATTTGTTACTTATAAATATTAAGAAACATCTTTGTTATCTTCACTTCCTGTTTAGCAACTGGGAAAATGGTTTAAAAACCTTCATCTGATTGACAGTATTTTATGTGGAGGAGTTTGTCATCCTGTAAGAGTTCAAGTAAAGAGAAGAATGCAATTTGTTGGTGTGTGTCACCACTATTGAAGATTGCTTTAAATAGCATCCCTGTAGCTGAGGAAAAGTAAGTCACGTTTAGGTTCTTGATTGAGAGATCCTAGTTTTTACACTTCTAGTTGTAAAAGTGCTGGGAAGGGTAAGATATGGTAAGAGTCTACGTTGCTTCTGAGATCCCAGGTGTCCTAGTTAGCATTAACCGACATAGCCTAGAATTGCTTGAAAAATCTGAGTCAGATTATTGTTTTTATCACATTTGTCTGTGGGCATATCTGTGAAAGACTATCTTAATTATTAATTAATACAGGAGGGCACAGCTCACTGTGGGTGGTACCTTCCCTAGACAGGTGGTCCTGGACTGTATAAGAAAGCTAGCTAAATGTAAGCTTGTGAGTGAGCCAGGAAGCAGTATTCCTCCACAGCTGCTGCCTCTAGGTTCCTGCCTTGAGTGCCTGCTCTGACTTCCTTCATTGATGGATTGTGATCTGGAAGTCTAAGCCAAATATAGCCTTCCTCCCAAGTTGCTTTTGGTCAGAGTGTTTTTATCATAGCAACAGAATGAACCTAGAACCCTGGGTAATTGACTTTACTGTATCTTTTCACGGGGTTTAAACTCCACTGGTTCTCATAACATGTAAGAACAGTATAGAATATGGAAAATGAGGGCCACTGAAATGGCTCAGTGGTTAAGGCATTTGCTGCCAAGCCTGGTGACGTGATTTCAGCCCCCAGAACCCATATGGCGGCAAAAGAGAACCAACCCTGACCTCTACATGCATGCCATAGCATGTGCCTGTCCCTGCCCAGTAAAATAAATAAATGTTTAGACTTTCAAAACAGAATTATTTAACATGGGTTTCTATAAAATATCCATCATTCACACACTGAGTAAAAGCGAAGAGGTTTTTGATACGCCAGTAGATATAATTTATTATCCTTGACACACTATTCTTTTTTCATAAGAACTGGTTTGAGCAGAGGAGGTGAAGGGAAAAGATCTTAGAACAGACAGTTTTCATGGCTTTTGCAGCACTGAGCCCTGGAAAGTGGGTTCAATTCTAGGGCAAGCTGATTTTTTTCAGTTTTTGAGTCGGATCTGTATTTTATTATTTTCAGAGGAGAGATCAAAGCCTTTCCAGTACCGGACTGAAAAAAAAAAAAAGAGTTCTCTGAGGTCCAACTGTTTGGCAATCCTCACAACAAAAGTGAAATAAAAGTTGAAGAACTTGCTAGAGGCACAGGAGTTGAAGAGGTGATTAGTTCACGGGCAGAATTGAAAGTTGACCATTCGGGGAATCAACCACCTGGCTCTTAGCAGGTGGGCTCACAGCAGCTGGGCTCAGAGCAGGTGGGCGGGCAGCAGTGGCAGCAGCAGGCTGGGCGGCAGCAGGACTGCCCACAGTAAGATGGGCGGCAGCAGGAGGCCTGGGCATGGTGCAGCTGGCAGCAGGTGGGGGGTGTGCTGCTCACCACACAGCAGGGGGGCAGGCAGGTGCCCTCGACGCGGCAGTCTGGGCGACACCACCTGACTCGGCAGCTCACGGCTCCGCAGCCACCTTCTTGGCCACTGCCAGTTCCACAGCAGCTGGGCTGACAGCAGCTGGGCTGGCAGCAGCTGGACTGGGAGCAGCTTGGCTGGCAGCAGCTGGGCTCACAGCAAGGGGCCTGACAACAGCTAGGCTGGCAGCAGCTGGACTGGGAGCAGCTTGGCTGGCAGCAGCTGGGCTCACAGCAAGTGGTCTGACAACAGCTGGGCTGGCAGCAGCTGGACTGGGAGCAGCTAGGCTGGCAGCAGCTGGAGCCACAGGTCCCACCAGTGGAGCAAGTGGGGAACCCACAGAAACTGGTAGCATAGCAGGCCATGGTGGCAGGAGTTGGTCTGAACTGAAGATTGGTTTGCTTGAAGAAGTTCTTTGAGCTTTGGTGGTGACTGCCATACCAGCCCTTTTATAATCCTTGCCTGGCTGCTATTTTCCTAATTTCCAAAGTCTCTTCCTTGTTTATGTTTACATTAATTTTCCTCTCAGTGATAATTGTCTGTTCCTGAATTACGTGTTCAACCTTCTGAGAGCCTGTAAAAGTCCATTTTATTTGGCAATTCAATAGTGTTCTTAACTATGGTGAAGTAGTTGTTAGTGTTTTTTGGAAACATAAGCCCTGTCCCCCCTTGTTATAATTTTCCTATTGCCCCCAAGTAATTGGCTAATGCTGCTCTTATTTAAGGAGTGTCAATATTACTCAGTGTTGACCCTTATAATTGGGTGTTTGGATCTCACATGGGAGTTGAATTTCCAGCACCATGACTTCTTTATCAATCCTTCTCTTTGAAGCAAGGCTGGGCTCCATTGGACCTTAAAGAGATGTTTACTCTGAACCTGGCAAATGTGCATGAATTGTTATTTACCAATAACCTTTTTTGAGGACTTACTATGTACCAAAACAATTCTGAATACCTTGTATGTATCAGCTCACTTTTTTCCCACAGCAATCCTATGGGATGGATGCTGTTGCTACTCTGATGAGCCAGGTGAGGAAACTGAGCCATAAACGGCTTTAAGTAAGTTACCACACCAAGTGGGCCATTTGAAGCCTGAGCTTCTATTATCTGATGGTAGTCAAAACTTCTATTTCTTGTCTCTCTGTGTGTGTGTGTGTGTGCGTGTGTGCGCGCGCGCATGTGTGTGTGTGTGTGTGTGTGTGTGTGTGTGTGTGTGTACACTTTTGAATGTGTGTGGGCATGCATGTGTCTGGGTATAAAGGCACATGTGTATATGCAGGTGGAGGCCTAAGGCTGCTGTCGGGAATGACCCTCTCTCACTCTCCCACCTTCCCTACCGAGGCAGGATCTCTCAATAAAACCAGAATTTTTGATATGGCTCATCTTGCTAGCCAGCTTGCTTGGGATTCTAACAAGTCCTCACAGGTGGGTGACAAGTGCTTTACTGAACCATCTCCGCAGCCCATTGTTTTGCTTCTTATTAAGTAAAGCTATAATATAATTCTCTGATTAGCTATTTTTAGCTTAGATTCTTGAAATGCGCATTTGTCACAATGACAATCCTAAGGATTTTATATTCATGTTGAAATTCAAATTCTGAAAAATGCTTTATACTAATAGTATTCATTTCCCCTGGCAAAATTTTAGATATTTGAGGTGTTGCAGATAAAAGCACCAGAGACAATCACATTAGGATCGCACCACCATTTCTGGGCTTTTCTAAAATGGCACCGCTTCTAAGAGCTCCCTCAGCACAAAATCTAAGTCATGTTATGGTCTTTAGTTGTGCTTAGGTAATTACTAAGAATAAAATATGATGCTGAGGGACTGGGAGGATGGCTCAGTAGGTAAAGGTGCCTGCTAGGAAACCTGATGACTTGAGTTTGAACCCTGATACACTCCACCACCCACCAACTCCTGTAAGTTGTACTCTGACCTTCACATGCATGCATGTGTATGTAAACACACAAACAATAAATAAATACATTTATAGATAAAAAATAAATAAAATTTAACTACTAGTGGATGGAGAGGTCATAGAGCCTAGAGGAGAACACACTACTGCCACTTTCCCAAATCAATATAATTTCTAACCATAATCTAAATACTTACCTGTATACCCACAGATAAGTGTAGCTCTCACCACTCATCAAAGAATTTTTTTTTTTTGCAACAGATGGCGACTATGACAGATTTCCACACCTGGTCAAAATGCAGAGAATAAGTGACCATGCAGAGAATAAGCCCTAACTGATACATCTACAATGCAATGCAGACACCTAAGGCTCAGAGAACACTGCAGAAGATGGGGTGGAAAGACTGTAATAGCCAAAAGATCAGAACACCTGCTACTAGACAGTGTCTTTGAGATGTGACGGGAAAGCTGCACCCATGAAATCTCAACAATACTGTTTCCTAAAGAGGACCTGTGCAATGACAGCCAGTTGACATACCAATGTAGGTGGGGGAAATTTAATAAGGCCCCACTTCTAGATGAAGAGCTACAGAAAATCAATGGCTGCTGGGGAGAGAGAGAGAGAGAGA